AGCCCTCTCTGTGGGCACGCGTGCCATCGCCCCAGCCAGGCCCAGACCGTCATTAAAGTGTCAAATTCTCTGCCAAATAATTTTAAGTAAATGAAAGCATTTGGGACTGCGTTCCTTACTTTGTTTGGATCATCTTAAGTTAATGTATGAGTTGTTTTTCCTAAAGTAAAATTCAGGTTCAATTGCCGTGTTGCCACTTTGCGATAAATAAGTGGGTTTTGGGTCGCAGTTTGGGCACTCGGTCTCTAAAAGGTTCGCCATCACCAGTGTTCCCTCTAAGCTGAGTTAGTGTGAGCTAGCTCACAGTTTTTTAGCCTCCAGCTCACACATTTCTGTCTTACCTCAGGAAGGATGGCTCCAGGGCAAACTAATTTATGCAGTAGCCAAATCACCTGCTCACAACTTTAATGTCAGTAGCTCACAAAGTAGAATTTTTGCTCAAAGAACTCCATAGCTTAGAGGGAACATTGGCCATCACTGGCCTAGAGCATCCCTGACAAGGGTTTGTCCAGACGCTGTTTAAAGACTGCCAGGGAGGGGGAGCTCACCGCCTCCCCAGGCAGCCAATTCCACTCTTGCACAACTCTCACTGTGTGAAAAAGTTTTTCCTAAGGCCCAGCCAGTACCTTCCCGCCCTTAATTTCAGCCCATTCTTGCCAGTCCCTCTCCTCTGCTGCCGATAGGAACAGCTCCCTGCCCTCCTCTCTAAGGGACAACCCTTCAGATACGCCAAGAGAGCCATCCTGTCTCCCCCTCAATCGCCTCTTTTTCAGGAACTAAACATTCCCAAGTCCCTCAGCCTTTCCTCATGGGGTATCCTCCTATCTCTGGGTTCGTGCTCTGTTCTTGACTTTGGAAAGAGGCATGAGAGAGAGAATAAAATCAACGCTGCCACCAAAACGTCGCCGCCATTTTCATCTGCACGGCAAATCACTCCGCCTAGGAGAAGCTCTGTTGGGCACCTGCCTCCACCCACTTTCTGAAAACACTTGGTGGGTACCAGATAAGGTCTCAGAGGAGGGGGAGGAGAAGGAGATTGGGTTTTATACCCCACCCTTCACTACCCGAAGGAGTCTCAGAGCGGCTTACAATCTCCTTTCCCTTCCCCTCCCTGCAAGAAACACCCTGTGAGGTAGGTGGGGCTGAGAGAGCTCTGACTGAGAACTGCTCTTGAAAGAACAGCTCTGAAAGAACTTATGACTGACCCAAGGTCACACCAGCAGCTCCCTGTGGAGGAGTGGGGAATCAAACCTGGTTCTCCCAGATTAGAGTCCGTGCTCCTAACCACTACACCAAACTGGCTTTCTCATGGTGCCCGCGGGCGCCACGTTGGGGACCCCTGCCCTAGAAGAGTTTCGCAGGTGTGATCCACACATCATACACCCCCATGTTCAGCGGAGTTTCCCCTTCAAGAAGATATAGCCTGTTTCCTGGTCCAAAGCACGGTTCTTCTGCCAGCTGCTCCAAAGTGGGCCACGATGCACCCCAAAACAGTTGTTGGACCACCCTGAATGACAACATCCCTTCCCACACTCTGGAGACTATCTTGCCATGGCAAGAAATGGCAAGAACTGGAGGCACAGGAAGACATTCTGTTCCGTCTTTAATAAAATGGTGGTGGAGGCGAGTTCAGAGGCCAGCAGGATCTGTTAGGCCGAACGGGAGTGTCCCTGAAATCACATCTCATCCTCCTGCAAGGTCAACAATTTGCTATTTAACACACATCTCTACGTTTGAAGTTGGAATAGTTGGGGAAATCTCTATTGGAAGCTTACATATTCTGAATTTACTAACTGGCAGCCCAGAGCACTTTAAATATCGGCGTTATTTTATTTTTCATCGTATCTTTAATGGACTATAATTGAACTGAGTGTTGGCGCCTTACTAAGAGTCTTTCTATTGAACCGGTGGGCAACTTTTCTGTGTCAGAAGCTGATGTCAATATGGTCGGTTACACTGCTTAGTTTTCTGTTCCACGGTGGTTTCTTATCTTTGTTTCGACTTCTTTCGAATGTTTATTTTGTATGTATGTTTAGCCTGGGAAAGAGAAGGCTTAGAGGGGACATGATTGCAGTCTTCAAGTATTTGAAGGGCTGTCATGTGGAAGATGGAGCGGATCTATTCTCTCTTGCTCCGGATTGCAAGACTAGATCTAACGGGTGGAAATTACAAGGGAGTCGTTACCGGCTAAATATCAGGAGAAACTTCCTAACTGTAAGAGTGGTTGAGCAGTGGAACAGACTGCCTCGGGAGGTGGTGGATGCTCCTTCGCTGGACGTTTTCAAGCAGAGGCTGGACAACCATCTTTCGGGTATGTTGTAGGGCTATCTTTCAGCTGTGCTCCTGCAGAGTGCAGGGGGTTGGACTAGATGACCTGCAAGGTCCCTGCCAACTCTCACATTCTATGATTCTTTCCATGACACTCTCCGTAACCCTAGGCCTGCCCCCCACTCCTTGGGGGGCTGTTGCGAGGATTTCTGTAATAAAGTACACACAGCTTTTCTATTCTAATGACAGGCAGCAATTACACAGAGATTTCTCCCAAAGCAGACCTGGTTTCCAGTCTTTCTCCCAACGATGGATATAACGGCACTATATTTTCTAACGGCACAGCCACCCCCCAGCTCCGTTCACTCCCTCCCCCCCCCCCCGGGCTTCTGCAGGGCTGCCGAAAGCAGGATAGGAAACCCGAGACCTTACGAGGTTGAAACAAAAAACGGGAGGTGGGGCAGGCGAAGAGGTCACCGGGGTCCAGGTTTGGCTCCCACTGGGGAGGCTATATTAAGACCCCAGCTGCTCCTCCTGCAGTGGAGCCATTTGCAGTCGGGCCCGCAGTGGTTTTGCTCTGCCCAGCAGCCTTACCCGCAGAACTGCAGGCTGCGACACGCCTGAAAGGCATGCCTGGGAGAGGTGGCCTCGAGGTAGAAGCGAATCGAATCCAGTAATTAAAGGCTCCGCTCTCTCTGGGGACGGGTAATTCTCTTTCATCTCCACGCTGGGAGGGACCCCGATGGGCAAGCCGCACCTGACGCAGAAGGCACACTTGGGATTTGCCCACTGCACCTCTGCATGAGTTGCTGCCCTGACCTGGCTTCTCTCCTTAGTACTTCCCCCAGCTCCCCGACACGGTCACCAGAACTGCACACAGTAGTCCAAATGAGGCCGCATCATAGATCTATAACAGGCACATTATAATACTGGCAGTGTTCCCGCTAAGCTGAGTTAGTGTGAGCTAGCTCACAGTTTTTTAGCCTCCGGCTCACACCCTTCTGTCTTTGTTCAGGAAGGAGGGCTCCAGAGCAAACTAACTGATGCAGTAGCCAAATCGCTCGCTCACCACTTTAATGCCAGTAGCTCGCAAAGTAGAATTTTTGCTATCAAGACTCCACAGCTTAGAGGGAGCATTGAATAAGGACCATTATTTTCAATCCCTCTCCTAATCATACCCAGAACGGAGCTGGCCCATAGCTGTGGCGGGGCATTTGGGGGCAGGGCCCCTCACCCACGAGCCCTGCCCCCCTGTGTATGCCAGACGCCCCCATACACCCACACCTCGCAGTGTGCCTAGCCCAACAGTAGCAGCGAGGCTGGGGAAAGACCGGGAAGTCCCCCCTGCAGGCTTCTGGTTGGTTTCACTCCCCTCTGATCAGCTGGAAGTGACTCGAACCAGGAGGGAAGGAAAGGAAAGCTGCCCTGCTGCTTCTGGTCAGTTTCGCTCTTTGACCAATACCTGGTCTCCCAGCTGATTGGAGGGGAGTGAAATACCATTCAGGCTTGAAGAGCTGCAATTCGTGTTTATTTTATTTTTTTAGTCGATGTTGTGTCTGCCCCACGAGAAGAAAAAAATAAGCCCCACAAGCAAAAAAAGTCCTGGCTACGGGCCTGGCATAGAGTTTGCCTTTTCCACTGCTGCGGCACACTGGGTTGCGCTTTTGTTGGCCTGTCCACTTAGGGTTTGCCAGACCCCCGGTTCGGGCGGGAGTCTCCCCCCCCCGATTTTCGGGACTTCAGCCTGCCGCCGGCCAGTGGGAGAAACCCTGCCCCAAGCCCCACCCCCAAGAATGACCACCCGTGGCCACCCCTCTCTCCCCTCTCCTGAGAGATTTAAATGGCCCTCCGGCTGATTGGGGGCGCATGTGGCCCGCCGATCAACTGAAGGGCCCTTTAAATGTTGTAGGAGGGGAGGGAGATGGGCGGCCACCAGCCTCACGGCCGAAATTCAAACAGCAATTTGCCATTTGGAATTCAGGCACACAGGGCCCCACTGGTCAGGGGCATAAAGGTAAAGGTAAAGGTTCCCTTGCTCGAAAGCCAGTCGAGTCCGACTCTAGGGTTGCGGGGCTCATCTCCCTTTCCATGCCCAAGAGCCAGCGCTGTCCGAAGACGTTTCCGTGGTCATGTGGCCGGTATGACTAAACACCAAGGCGCACGGAACGCTGTTACCTTCCCACCGAAGTGGTACCTATTTATCTACTTGCAATTTCTTGCTTTCGAACTGCTAGGTTGGCAGGAGCTGGAACTAGAGACGGGAGCTCACTCCATCATGCGGCACACTCGGGTCTCGAACTGCTGAACTACCGACCTTCCACAGCCTGCAGTTCAGCGTCTTAACCACTTGAGCCACCGCAGCTCCCAGGGGCATAAAGAGTCCCTTAAATGCTTATGGCCAGTAGTCTCTTTAAATGCTTAAAGGTAAAGGTTCCCTCGCTCAAAAGCCAGTCGAATCCGACTCTAGGGTTGCGGTGCTCAGCTCCCTTTCCATGCCCAAGAGCCAGCGCTGTCCGAAGTCGTTTCCGTGGTCATGTGGCCGGCATGACTAAACACCAAGGCGCACGGAACGCTGTTACCTTCCCACTGAAGTGGTCCCTATTTATCTACTTGCAATGTCTTGCTTTCGAACTGCTAGGTTGGCAGGAGCTGGGACTAGAGACGGGAGCTCACTCCGTCATGTGGCACACTCGGGTCTCGAACTGCTGAACTAACGACCTTCCACAGCTTGCAGTTCAGCGTCTTAACCACTTGAGCCACTGCAGCGCCTTAAATGCTTATGGTCCCTTTAAATCAGGGGTGTCCAATTCATTTGTTATGAGGGCCGGATCTGACATAAATAAGACCTTGTTGGGCCTGGCCATGTGTGTCATAAAATGTAATGCCAGGTAGCGGAGATATAACCTTTATAAAGGACACAAACACAAAGGGTGTTTTTTTTACTTAAAATAAAAACATGCTTAAAACATTAGCACTTTTGCAATATTTTGTTTATTTAACAGCATCTGATAACTGACCCCTCTTTTCTCTGAATTTTTGCATCAAAATGTCTGTGCTGTTGCAATCTCAAGTATGCTGTTCAGGTGTGTATCTGTCAGCTGCAAACCTACGATGACTCAGCAGCAGCAGAACTGGAAGCAGAAGACAGCCAGTTCCACTGCAGGCCTGATAGAAGCCCTCCGGGGGCCTGATCTGGCCCCCGGGCCGCATGTTTAACACCCCTGTTTTAAATGCTTATGGCCAAGGGGCCGGGCCTCACGCACCTGAATTCCAAGTAGCATCACTGTTTGGAGTTCAGGCACGTGACTGGCGGCTGCCCCTCTCTCTCCCCTCCTGTGAAATTTAAAGGGCTCTCCAGCTGATCGGCGGGCCCTTTAAATCTCACAGGAGGGGAGGGAGAGGGGTGGCCGTGGGTGGTTATTGTTGGGGGCGGAGCTTGGGGGCAGGGACATCCCCAATGTAATGTCATCACATTGGGGATGCCCTGCTCCTCCAGGCATGCCCCCCAAAAGACCAAAGTATCCCACTGGGGACGAGGGCAGACCTGGAAACCCTACATCCACTACAACCCTAAGGTTGCAGTGTGCATCACCTAACCCTTACCCCCAATGAACTTCATTTACCACGTTGAGGCCCACTCACCCAATTCGCAGCGACCCTCCTGGAGTTCTTCACAGTTGGCCCCCGTTTTCCCCATCCCAAATAGTCTGGTACCACCTGCAGACTTGGCCGCTGCGTTGCTCACCCCCAGTTCTAGGTGAACAAATTAACTAGTGCTGTACCCAATAGCGATCCTAGTGGCACCCCACTGCTTACTTCCCTCCACTGTGAGATATGTCCGTTTAGAAGAAGAAGAGACTGGATTTATACCCCCACCCTTCACTACCCCAAAGGTGTCTCAGAGCGGCTTACAAACTCCTTTTCCTTCCCCTCCCCACAATAGACACCCTGTGAGGCAGATGGGGCTGAGAGAGCTCTGACAGAAACTGCTGTTTTTTCAAGGACAGCTCTTATCAGAACTACGGCTTGCCCAAGGTCATCCAGCAGGTGCAAGTGCAGGAGTTGGGAATCAAACCCGGTTCTCCCAGATTTGAGTCTGTGCACTTAACCACTACACAAAAGTGGCTCTCTGTTTACTCCTACTCTGCCACGAAAGAGGACTAAAAGGGCTCAGCACTGGCCGGATTCCCCCCCCAAAAAAAGAAATACAAGCCAGATCCCCCGGAAGATGAAACGATCTCCTTGAAAAGATTCTGGCCCACTGAACTACACACCTTGCTTCGGAAGCCATGGCGCTGGCTGAGGAAAGGACGCTAACAGACAAACAACCCCTCGCCAGGGCACCAAGGTTCCCGCTTTGTGCTCTGCGCAACCCAGCCGAGCATGAAAAGAAGCCGCACGGGTCTCTCCGACGGCCAAGTCTCCATTCAAGAGCGGAGCCAGAAAGGAAGAGGAGCCCTGGAGACAGTCTGTACTTGGAGCTGCAAGCAGAGAGCAGGTGAGCGAGGATAGGAAACCTTTCATCCCGAGCTGGGCCTTACGTAACCATTTCCTTGGAAACACGCTTCGATCGGCTCTGTGAGAGCAGCCGGGTTGAGACGGTGGCTTCCCATCGCCACCCCCTCTGTAAGCTCCTCGGGGACAGAGGCCTGTCTGCATTTTGTCAATGAGCTGTTGTCCTCCTCACGGATGACTTCGCAAGGAATAAATGGTGGCGGAACGGCCGCTGAGTCGTTCTGAGCCCGCAGACATGGCGGAGAGCCAATCTGCCACAGCTGTCTCCCCCCCAATCCCCACTGCCGCAGGGGAGCGGTGGCAGGCAGGGGAGCGGTGGCACAGGGGATTTATCCTCTGGTTAAAAGTAACATCTGAGCTGAACAGGTCTGCTGTCAGTTCTAGCCCCACGCTGGTGTGAGCTACCAGCCTTGTCCCCAGCTCGCCGTCCACCCAGCGGTTCGAAAGCTTCGACGAGTACATAAAATGGGTACCACTCCTTAGAGAGGGTGGGCACACCACCACCACCCCCGTGGGGGAGGTGTTAGCCGACGAACGGAAGGTTCGGCTCGCAAGCTCGAAAGCCTAGAAGATCTCTTCGGCATCAAGAAGCCTGTAATGGGCCGTTCCGGCCAGGCGGTGGCAGTATGGAGCTGCGACCCAAAGAGTCCTGGAAAGGAAGAGCTGACGTCATCCAGCCAAGCCAAGCCGAGTGGGAAAAATGCCGTCCGGATCACGTCTGAGTTGCAACTGAACAAATCCCCGTCGGCTGCCAAATGTGTGCTATGTAAAGATTATATGTGCTGTCCTCCCTTACCCCTATAAAGGATTGTTAGTCCCTTGTGAAATGAGTAACTGTAAATCGCTCAGAGCCAGCAGCTCTGCAAGGATTGAGCGATTAATAAATTGAAAGATGATGATGATTATTATTATTACTAGCAAAAAGGCCCGTTGCGGAGGGGGATACAACGGGCTGCTAGCCGTCCTCCGCCTCCTCCACCTCCCCGCCGCGGCCCACCCGCCCGTCGGAGGCAGGCACTTGCGGGACTTGCCTGTGCGCAAGTTCTTCCCTGGCCTCCGCGACGCAGCCGTCCGCCCGTTGCAGCCGCTCGTAGGGCCCGGCCTCCGTCCTCGGCGTGACCCAGGCGGCTGCAAGCGTTCGCGCCCCTCGTCTCCGCCGTGAGGCAGGCGGCCGGCAGTCTGAGCAGACCGGCCGCCACCTCCAGGCCCCGGGAACATCGCGCACAGCCGCCCGGCACAGCCGCTCGTCGGCCCGAGGCCCCAGGGACGCGAAGCTGCAGCCACCTCTAGCCCCCGGGAACATCCCGCACAGCCGCCCGGGCACAGCCGCTCGTCGGCTCGAGGCCCCAGGGACGCGAAGCTGCAGACGACGTGGGGCGGGACTCAGACGACATGGCCAATGGGACGTGGCCACGCCGCTGACGGACAGGCTGACGGACAGTCCAAACACTGTAGGGGCGCATTGCGTGCAGTTTGCGTCTTACTGCTTTATAATATAGGGAGATTATTATCATGAGCCCCCGCCGCAAGCCGACTCCCTCATTAAGGACTAAGCCCCTGCCAGGAACTACGGCCACAGGGCGAGGACCTCCTGACTGTCCCCATCAATCAAAGAAAGTCATTTGGTGGGTCCGTGAGAGGCGGCCTGTTTGGTGGCGGCCCCACGATCGTGGAACAAGAACAACACCAGGGAGGTGCACCTGGCCCCCTTGAGTTGAAGATGGTTTCGTTTAGGACCACCTCTGATTAAGTTGCTAGCAGGGGTTGTGGTTTTAAATTTGGGCTTCGTGTATTTTATATCTATACTGTAAGCTGCCTCGACCTCCATAAGGTCCCTAAACGGTCCGGGAGGCACGTACCTTCTGGACCACCCCTCCTGGTATATCCTCCGGAGAGCATTACGCTTGGCTGAGAAGAACCTGCTGGTGATCCCCGACCAATGCTCCCTCTAAGCTGTGGAGTCTTGTGAGCAAAAATTCTACTTGGTGAGCGACTGGCATTAAAGTGGTGAGCCAGCGATTTGGCTACTGCATACATCAATTTGCTCTGGAGCCATCCTTCCTTACCTGGCTTCTTCACCCAGAGAGTGATTAACACTTGGAATTCACTGCCACAGGAAGTGGTGGCAGCTACAAGCATGGACGGCTTCAAAAGGGAATTAGATTAGCATATGGAGCAGAGGTCCATCAGTGGCTATTAGCCACAAGGTATAGATAGGGACTCTGGGGCGAGTGATGCTCTGTCATCTTGGTGCTTGGGGGGGAGGTCAACAGTGGGAGGGCTTCTAGTGTCCTGGCCCCACTGCTGGACCTCCTGATGGCACTGGTATTTCTGGCCACTGTGTGACACAGAGTGTTGGACTGGATGGGCCCTTGGCCTGATCCAACATTGGCATCTCTAATGTTCTTATGTTATGTTTTTGCTCTGACTGAGGGCTGCTGGGATCAGGGGGTGGGGCTTGTTGCATGTGCCCGCCCCCTGGGCTCTTTACTGCCGGAGCTCCACTCCTGTGCGCTCCTGCAGGAAATGACCCCTGGTTCTGGCACAGCTGTTCTTGAAGAAGAGCAGTTTCTGTCAGAGCTCTCCCAGCTCCACCTGCCTCCCAGTTGTGGGGAGGGGAAGGGAAAGGAGTTTGTAAGCCGCTCTGAGACTCCTTCGAGTAGTGAAGGGCGGGGTATAAATCCAATCTCCTCCTCTTCTCTTCTCCAGGGACTCAGGCTGAGTTCTTTCACGTCATCTACGACCGGAACTCCAACTGACGATGCCGGGGATTGAACCTGGCACCTTCAGCATGCCAAGGAAAGGCTCTACCACTGAGCCACAGCCCCTCCCCAGATAATAATACATTTTAAAAGGCCCGCACATCCCAGTTGAATTCAATTGAACTAAATAACTTAATTGAATTTTAATGGCAGAAAGTGAAGAGGACATAAAGAGTTTCTTGGCTCAGGGTGAAAGAGGAGAGTGCAAACGTTATTTTATTTTTATTTATTTCATTTATTTATTTATTAGATTTGTACCCCGCCCTCCCCAACAGGCTCAGGGCAGCTACAACAGAGGCAAATTGCCATAACAACAGTTAAAACAACATAAAAGCAATAATTAAACAGTATAAAACAATAATTAAAGTGCGGTGCTCTTGATGTTAAAGTTTTCTAATCCAAGATGAGTTCCATTCATCAACCTAACCTGACAACATACATTCTTCAGTTGACTAGGCGTCTACCCAGGGCCAGGTCACCTCCAGATCTAATCCACTGTCGAGGATGGCAACTCGGTAGTGGTACAGTGACGACGACAGCTCCTATGCAAAGGCCTGGCGGAGGAGCTCCGTCTTGCAGGCCCTGCAGAACTGCGCCAGGTCCCGCAGGGCCCAAACCTGCTCTGGGAGCTCATTCCACCAGACAGGAGCCGCCGCCGAGAAAGCCCTGGCCCTGGTTGCAGCCAGCTTGATGTCCTTGGGGCCGGGAACCACCAGTAGGTGCTGCGACCCCAACCGTAGCGCTCTTGGGGGAACATATGGAGAAAGGCGGTCCCTTAGGTACGCTGGACCCTGGCCATCAACTTGAAACTCAACATCCAAAAAACACTAAGATCATGACATCTGGCCCCATCACTCCTTGGCAAATAGAAGGGGAAATCGTGGAAGCAGTGACAGACTTCACATTCCTGGGATCCAAGATCACTGCAGACGGTGACTGCAGCCATGAAATCAAAAGACGCCTGCTCCTTGGGAGGAAAGCGATGGTGAACCTAGACGGCATGATAAAAAGTAGAGACATCACTCTGCCAACAAATGTCCGTATGGTCAAAGCAGTGGTATTCCCAGTAGTCATGTATGGCTGCAAGAGTTGGACTATAAGGAAGGCTGAGTGCCAAAGAATAGATTCTTTTGAATTATGGTGCTGGAGAAGACTCTTGGAGATCCCTTGAACTTCCAGGAGATCCAATCAGTCAATCCTAAAAGAAATCAACCCTGACTGTTCCCTGGAAGGCCAGATACTGAAGCTCAAATCCTTTGGCCACCAAATGAGAAGGGAGCACTCACTGGAGAAGACCCTGATGCGGGGAAAGACTGAAGGTCAAAGAAGAAGGGGATGGCAAAGGATGAGACGGTTAGACAGTGTTATCGATGCAACGAACATAAAATTAAGCAAACTCCGGAGCACGGCGGAAGACAAG